TTCAATGGTTTTGGCAAAATTATTATTTTTTCCCTTCAAGCTATTTATAAACAACTGTCAGAGTTACGTAGGGGTGAAAATGTTCTTTCTATTGGTTATAAGCAGTAGCTAATTAGTAGTAGGTGGGACTAGATAACTAGATAAAGATTGGTGCAGTGGGAGAAGCCACTCTAGTAGACTCGATAAAAATATTGTTATCTCAGCAAATCCTAGAAGAGGGAGGTTCTTATTTTTATATTTAGCTTGTCTATATTTCAAATTCGAGTTTCTAACTCATTAGCTACTTATACATGTTGTATGGTGAGCATAATAAAATGGCAACTGAACAATAAGACAACTGGACGTGTTATGTGACACACAAAATTGATATTTAAAATTTTTTTTTCTTTACATTTCCTTTTAAATTAAGAAATTAAAACATATATAATATCCAAATTTAAATTATAAACTATGTTTTGATGCCAATTTCATTGATGTAGGTAGTAAAAATGTTACTTAATAAAATTTTGAAAATAATGCTCCAAATGTCATTACACGTACACTTTAACCTACCTGAGGCGAAAGGGTTAACTGAAAGACTGCCAAATGTTGTGAAGTTCCCTTTTAGATTGGTGTAATCTCACTGCTATGAAATAGAACAGATGCACCCCTTGATTTGAAGTAGGACTGGTGTTAACTAGTAGTGTAATATAGACCACCATGCTACATTATGAACCAAGCCATTCCTGGTGGTTAGGTCAGCCAGATGGGGTTTGCTTTCTCTGGATGCAGGTATGGAATAATTCCTCCTGCACCTAATTATTATGGTAAATAATTCATGTATTTCTTCAATATTGTATGGCCTGACTTTACTGCCTTAACCACACTACACACCTCATGCTCAGCCAAATGCATGAGAAATAATGACCAATAGAAAAATCTTACATTTTACTCACCTATGTGACACATTAGTGCCATGCACAAAGTTCTTTTGACAGTACCTTTTGCACCTACCATCTTTATTGGCCAGAGTTTATTCCTTATTTGAGATGGATGTGGTCTTCCACTGTGTGATGCCCCACTAGATTCACTCTAATTTGGTGACATGCTGCATAAGTTTTCTATTTCTGATGCTATAATTTCAGAAAGGAGCTTATTTGTTCAGTTATAAATGTGGGATTCTCGTTCTTATTTCTCTGGAAAGGTAAGTAGTGCTTCTAAAATTAATATTTTCCTTACCTCCAAATATATTTTAGCTAGACAATCACTTTTCCACAGAACCTGGCACCCATCCCCTCCACCATACACACTTCTGGTATATTTCTTTTTTCTCATTAAGAATGAGCCTTTGTTCAAATGCTAGTGCTTACTGGACTTACTACACAAAGAGGATGTGTTACACTCATATGTATAGGTATAGTTTAATTATGATTATGTCACAGGCTGGTGCAGTCCATGTTCATACATGTAGGAGTTGGAGTTTCATTCAAGACTTGTGAAATGGGCAAAAATATGTTTGCCAGATGAGTGTGGTAATAGCTCTTAGTTATGTAGAGAGGTGAGTATTTATCAAATATACATTTCCAGGTGAGGGAAATTTGAACATTACTGTATGTTCTGTTCAACAAAGGAGTGAAAAGTGATCAGGAAGTTTTAAAATCTGGACCTGTAAGTTACTGTGTTCTGTTTTAGAAAAAAGTGATCAGTAAATGTTAAAACTTGGATCTGTAATTTACTCTCTTCTGTTTAAGGAAAAAGTTATTGGTAAGTGTTAAAATGTGGACTTCTGTGTTACTGTGTTTTTCTGTTTAACCAAAATGTAAAAAAAAAGTGTTAAAACATTGGACTTGTAAATTATAGTGCGTTCTTCTTTAACAAAACATTGATAAATAAGTGATAGAAGATTAGATTTTTTACATTAATTTGTTATGTGCATAACAAAAGCATCATTAAAATATTTAACTTATTTGTTATACAAAAGACAAAATTAAGTGCTAAGTACTTTTTGGAACACTGAACTTTTTAGTTGTTGTTTCTTTTACACAATAGAGATAAGCATCAATCATTGCATAATAGAAAACATCATGAAAAAAGGATTGAAGTAAAGACTGGTGCTGCTGACTTCAATATCACTGAAGGAGAATTGAGAGGCAGAAGCAGAAACCCACTGGTGAGGTCTAACGATACTGTGAAGATATTTTATGTGTATTTGGGATGTTGATGCTTTCTGTTTAACTTCTATAGTCTCATAATCATGTTGTTTTACCATGATTAAATACAGTTCAGATGTTGATGAATTATTTTAGTATGGTTTCATAATCATCTTTGTTACAAAATACATCAACATATCATTAAAAACTGTTCAAGCATGGAAGATTTATATTATGTATAGTTTTGTTAGGGTATGTAATAACATTATTTGAAACTGTTCAGGTTTAGAAGGCTTACCTTATGCATAATTTTGTAATAACTTTTTAGGTTATGTAAAAACATTATTTGAACCTTTTTAGATTCAAGTTTATCTTATGTATGGTTTTGATTAAGTTATGTTAAGATGTGAAAGTTTCATCTTACTGTTTTGTTATCATGGTATATTAGGATAGGTATTAACACGATTAATAACTTTTTATGTGTAAAAGGTTTATTTCTTATATGGTTTAATAATCATGTTGTTAGAGTATGTATCGCAAGTCATGTTCAGGTTTTGTGAGATGAAATAATCAGAAATACAGAAATCACTGTTACTAGTTGGAGTGATTTAATGTATAGTGTAGTTTGTAAGTACAGACGCAAAACTAGGTACACTTAGTTATAAGTATCATATAAAACACTTAGAACATCTGGTTTTATATTTTCAATCTGTTATCAGACTATATTAATAAATGTTTCTTGTGAACTAATGTTTATAACATGCGTGAAAAATGTACTATATTGACAAGAACATGATCCTTTATGGGAAGTTGTATTTTTCTAGGTAAAGTGACTTGTCTGTTTATTAACAACATTAAATTATTTGTGCTCATTAATGGATTGAACTGAAAGTGTTTTTTGATTTATTGGAAAAAAAATAGAAATACGTAATTTTACAAAATACTTGGATTTTATTTGGCTCTGTTAGAGTTTAAAATGAAAAACAATTCTGTATGCTTTAAAACAATCCCTATCAAAGTTTGAAGCAAGTGATATAAAATAACCCTTAATTCTGTATCTTCATCAATACTCCAAGAGGTGTTAAAAACAATTTTTAAACACTGTGTTGTGTTCTCTAACAGCACTCCAAGGAAGTGGTAAAAACAGTTTTAACACTATGTACATGGGTGGGGTCAAGATTCACAAACCACAATTTTTTTACAGGGTATCATTCAACATGGTATTATGTATTTGATGGCAGTTTTCAACTATCTGTTTTACCATATATTTCTGATTGAACAACAGTTTGTGGTAGAAAAGAGTAAATACCAGACAATTTATACAGAGGTTCTGAAAAAATTGTAGATATGGATTTCGAGGTTCTAGAGGTTATGCAAATGCAATATGTGAACTGTAGGATGAATGAAAATATTTTTATACTTCACATAAACATAACCATGCATCCAACTTATCAGAGTCTGAATCAGACTGATTTTGTCAGTGCACAAACATATTATGAGTACAAATACTTTTGTAACATACTTGATTTTTGTGTACAACAGACTTGTACACTTGACTAAAAGCTTGCCACATTTCATATAGATACATAAAGTAAATTCAGAATTATAGTCAATATTTATTCTCCAACATTGGTTCGGCCCAGTGGACAGAATTTTGTGCACATTCAGTAACAGCACTTCCAAGGAGGTGGTGAAAAACAGTCCACAACTCTGTTGTATCTCCAACGGTACTCCAAAGAAGTTGTAAAACAATGTTGAACCCCACTGTATCTCTGAGGCCCTGAAAGGAGATGGTAAAAATAATATTGAGGCATTAGAAACAGTCTCAAGTTCTCTGTTTATCATCTCTAAAGAAAATTTTAAAAACACATTTTGTGTATTTTCACAAGTACACACACACTAAAAAATGCATCTTATGAATATATATTAACATAAATTTAGTGTTTAAATGATAAAGTTTTAGTAATTATTTTTAATACAATAATTTGTAACTTCAGTAGTTGATTGTATTTTACATTGTTTTGTTTTTTTTAGCAACTATGATCATATTTTGAATATAGTATAGTGTGTGAATAGATCAAACAAGGTTCTGTGCTATACAAGACAAGTACGTTTTTATAGGGTTAAAAGCTCATTTTAATAAATCATTTCTTTTCAGGGCAATGGAGATCAGGCAGAATTGCCAGAACAACACGCATTCATTTGTCCACGTTGTGAGATGAGATTTATGGACTATCAAGCTCTACAAAATCATGTAGAAGAATGCCTGAGTAAAGATGACCACTTTCTGTAGTCATAGTGAATCAGTTTAAAAAAATGTCAGTTTTAAAAATTTTCTTCTCCTCCTGAATTTCCTATGATTCAAAATAGTATTTGCTTTTCTGCTGATTCAAACTTAAGTCGCATTGAATTTATTAATATAATGTTTCAAGTAAGTTACTTCCCCTGACTTTACAAATTGATCAGCACATCTGTGCTTCAAGAAGAAATCATAAAGTCTCATAAAGAAGTTGTCTGTAAAAAATAAATAAATATATATATATATATATATAT